ATAAAGTATGCTGATAAAATAGTTTGTTCAATCGTAAGACATTCATCTGCGTATGCTCAAACAAGTTCACCGGCTAAGTGACCAATTATGTAATCGGCAATAATTCCTAAGGATGTTAGGAGATCTACTAAACCAATCTGTAAATATATACAAATAATTTTATGCTGAACACTTTATATTAAAAAAATTTTTTATTAATTTAATAACAAAATGTGGTGAAATAAATCTGGTAGAATGATAGTTCTATAAATGTGGTCAAATAACAAAATTAAGAAATGTATTCTTATCATTATGTGTTCTACTTATATATAAAATATTATTAATACTTATATATATTTATGAAAACTTATAAATTGTTTACCTGAATAGCGACGATTCCAAGAAAAGCGTTTAACGCATTTTTGCTTATTTCTTCTTCTTTTTTTGTCAAAATGTCTATGACACTTACACCATACGGTTTTAAAATATTATCACATTTTCTTATCGTTTTTTTAAAGACGTGAAGCTTTAATAAGTTTTGGCCTGATAAGATTTTTATAAATTATACTATTTTGTCATTTAAATTAGTAGATATGTGTACATTACACTGACAAGAAAAAAAAATTTTTTTTTAATCGGTCTCTCAGCTCAAAAGCTTTTATTTTATGTCAAAAAAAACACTCCTAAATTTTTATCAAAAAATATTAAGAGATCGCTAATGAATCCTTTTTAAATTAAAGTTTCGATTTTTCTTAATATATTTTTGATTTAATGCAAAAAAGGCTTAATCCGGATTTTAAATGTGGTATTGTATGTTTCTTTGGTCGCTGAACTGCAATAATTCATTTAACCTTATGATATATACCTTAAAAAATACAGCCCGATTAATGTGAAAAAAATGACCAAATTTCGAGTTCAAAGTCGATTTTAGCAAGATTCCAAGCGTTCAAATGGATCGTTACTTCTCACAAATTGTAGGTCCGTTCATCTAGATCAAAATCCAATTGGAATTTTCCCGTAATCTCCTGCAGGGTCTTTAAAAGTTAACTGGATTATAAAACGTTTTTAGGATAGAAAATTTTTTTTGCGAGTTTTGAGGTATATGGTTTTGTGGTTTTGACATCCTCAAATCAAATATTTCAATTTGATGATAAAAAGCTCTTTAGAAAATGAAATGATATATGTATAGTAATACAAAAAAAAATACTTAATTGAAACAATTAAGGGGCATATTGCGACAACTCAAGATGTTTTAAGAGTTAAAATAATGTATTTTTCAAATTAATACGTTAAAACATAAAATTTGTAGACATTTTGGTCAGGATTTGATCATCATCAAT